CAGGCTGGACTTGAACTCACAAAGATCTGCCTGCCTCTGCCTCCCAAGTGCTAGGATTAAAGGAGTATGCCACCACGCCCGGCCTTCAAAGTCATTTTTTTTTTTTTAATAAAAAGAGTGACTTAGAAATCCCACTCTTCCTGCCTCTACCTCCAAACTGCAGGTGTTCACTACCACACCCAGTTCATGCAGAGCTGAAGATCAAACCCAGGGCCTCCTATGTGCTACCAAGCACTCTACCAACTGAGCCACATCCCCAGCCCCAGAGACCTCTTTTAAATAGAGGTCATACCATGGACTCTCCTGCTTAAAACCTGGACATGACTTCCACTCACAACTCAAATAATCCAAACAAGGCCACCAAAGTCAATGAGGTCCTTCCAGAAGCTTCTCCCATCTCCCTTATACCACCTTTCCCAGGGGTCACTATGTGCCATGTCAGGCTGTTCAAGGCCTGGCCTTGCCCTCTGCCTCCTACCAGACCCCTCACCCCATCTTGTAGATTCTATTGCCTATGCTCACCTCCTTCCTGCATATCACCCCACAAGATTTCCTTTACACCCCCCATATGATTTTCCAGAGACTCCCGTCTTTTTTTGTTTTCTTGAGATAGGATCTCACAATGTAGCCCTGACCAGCCTAGAATTTGCTATGTAGACTAGGCTGGCCTCACTCTCACAGAAATCCACCTGCACTTGCCTCCCGAGTGCTGGGACTACAAGCGTGCACCATCAGGCCTGGCTTATCTTTAGATTTGCTTCTTGTATGCTCTTTTCATTTAATTGGAATGTAACCCAGGAGCACAGAAGCTGCGGGTCTAGGATTCAGCAGGACCTGACGCCTCCCAGGCACCGCACAAATATTTCTTCATTGATTAGATGAAAGAATGACTAGCAACGAAAATGATCTGCTTCACAGTAGATCATTCTGAGGATACCGTGAACCAAATAGGGCACATGGCTCAGGTTCACAGAGTGGCTGGGCAAAGATTCCTTGGATGCATGACGCCCTAGATTCATAAAACCTCTCACCAGGCTGGGGAGATGGGTCAGTGGGTAAAGCTCTTGCTGCGTAAGCATTAGGACCTGAGTTCAGATCCCCAGAACCCATGTACAGACTTGGTAGTGGATGCAATCCCAGTGTTCCTAAGGAACCAGTGTTCCATCCTTGGATGTTGGTTGGTTTGTCCATTTATAAACATCTTGTTATCTTTGAGAGCTCTATGAGGAAATAAATATCTGGTCATTCTCAGGAGCTGCTTCAAGATCATAATGAAATAAGGGAAGTGTGTGTGTGTGTGTGTATGGGGAGGGTGGCGGGGGAACAGCCCTGCTTGGCTTCATGTTGGTTTGTACTGAAACCTAGTGATGGGAAATGAGTCCCATGATATCATGCTGACTACTTTAGTGTGGGTCGGAAAACTCTCTAAAGGCAGTATTGGAAGAATTCCTTTACTTTTCTCCCTCCCTCTTTCCTAGCGCCACCCCTACGAGGCGACCTACACCTTGAACCATTTTCTTTCTTTTTGTTTGGTCTTTTTGAAAGACCTGTAGCCCCAGCTGGCCTGGAACTCACTCTGTAGACCAGACTGACCTCTGAACCATTTTCTTTTAGTTTATTTTGAGACAGAGTCTTGCTAAGTTGTTCCAGACAGGCCTCCAACTCATGATCCTCCTGCCTCAGCCTCCCAAGTAGCTGAATTACAGTTTTATGTCATCATTCCTGGATCTCGCTCTCTTTTTCTCTCTCTTTCCCTCCCTTGTTACCACTTTCTCTCCCCTTCTTTCCTTCTTTCCTTGTTTTTTTTTTTTGTTGTTGTTCGGTCTTTTTGAGACAGGGTCTCCCTGTAGCCCCAGCTGGCCTGGAACTCACTATGTGGACCAGGCTGGCCTTGAACTCACAGAGATCCTCCTGCCTCTGCCTCCCGAGTGCTGGGATCAAAGGCTTGGGCCACCACGCCCAGTTCCCTTCCTTGTATGCGGGAAGGGGGAGACGCGCACATGCCACGATGCATGTGTGTTGGTCAGAAGACAACTTTTGTGGAGTTGGCGGTCTCTTCTCCACCTTTACATGGGTTCCAGGGATTGAATTCAGGTCGTTCAGGTTTGCAGGGCGAACACCTTTACCTGCTGAGGCCCTGGTTTTGTTTTTTTGAGGCAAGGTGTCACTGTGTAGCCTAGGCTGGCCTCAAACTCAGGATGCTCCTGCCTCAGCCTCTCAAGTGCCAGGATTACAAGTGTGCACCATCGAATCCAGCCTTTTCCTTTCCCTTTTGGCCTCTCCTCCCTTGCCCACTCCTCTTTTCCCTCTTGTAATGGACATGGAACCCAGGGTTTTATGAATGATAGGCAGGGGGTTTACTACTGAACTGCGATTTCCACCCTCTTCACTCTTCTAAATGTGTGTTTGGGTCAGACATCTTACTCTGTTTGCGAAGTGGGGATGTAAAAGCTTCCTTTCAGAAGGGACTGTGAGGATTCCAGGAGAGAAAGGGCTTAGCACAGAGTGGGCACCCCGGGCATGTGTGCCGGGAGCACATCCTTCAGCGTGAAGTGTGTGCTCAGAGCAGTTAAGCAGGTGGTCCAGGGAACCCAGCTCCCTGCTCCCTGTTATCGCACTTGGAAAGCCTCCCAGGTAGAATTCTGGTGGACGTGCCAGCCTTCTCAAGTTGGATCTTATTTAAAGAGATATGCTCCTATCTCCTCCCCTCTCTCGCGTCATGATCCTGCATGATCACACCAGCTTGTATTTCAAGAGGTGAGAAACACAAATCTGAGACAAGATGCCAGGAACAGAGACGCAGCCAGAAGCTCACAGATTGAAAGGCCCCAGCAAAGCTGTTCCTACGGGTGCTTTCAACTCCTAGAGTGGGGGCTCCTCCCACCATCTCCCTTTCCCCAGACCCCTCCACCCACCCTTGATCAGGACCCCCCCCACACACACACACTCACTGCAGAGCTGGCTGGATAACAGAGGCTTCAGGATTCCTGGAGCCTGGGGAGAGCCTCTCCCCCTGGAGGAATCCGGACTCACCTTCCACACACATGCAGTCATCGAAACATTTGTTGTTGAGGCCACGGTTGTGGGGTGTGCAAAGATGTTCCCGGAGGTCGCAGCAGGTTCCTGGCAACACAGCAAGTACATGTGCTCAGCCGAGCTGAGCGGTTACCTCCCCGCCGCCCTGCACAGGGCCCCACTGGACCAGAGATCCATCATGTGTGTGGCAGGCTGTGCCTTGCTGGGGTGGGCCATCTGGTGGTATAAGACTCCCGGCTGGAGCTGCTGCTGGATGTCATGGCCCAGGTCCCCAGGGGCAGGTGGCAGAGACCCCAGCTGCCCCAGATGGGCCACTTGATTGATCATGAGGAGAGTGAAGGTGGTGAAGGTTCACTTCCCAGGGACAGGGGGTAGCATAGCTGGGGGTGCTATAGACTCAGAAGGGATGGGCCTTGGGGATCATGGACACAAATGTCTTCTTGGACAGATGGGGAAGCTGAAGCCCTGGGTGTCTGCAGGGCTGTCCCAGGCAGGCCTGAGGCATAGCTTCACCCGTCACAGAGACAGCTCCTGGGGACAATCGAGTTGGCCCTGAGACCAGCCTTTTCTTTACTCTGAATGCAGCGATGTGAGAAGAAACAGCCTGTCTGGTTTGATGTCTGTCTTACACGATGCCAAATGGCTGCTTTGCTTGCTGTTTTGTGGAATATTCTGGCCACTGATGAAGTATCATGGAGACGGCCACTGGGGTCCCCCAGCCTCTGAAAAGCACTCATTACTCAGTGGCAAGAAGGTGCCATCAGCTGCTGGCCTCTAGCCGTGTGCAACCTCAGGGGCAGCTTTGGCCCATGTCCCTTTTTCCACAGCAATCCTAGACAATGGCCAACATCTTGGGGACCAGGGCTGTCACTTCTGTCCAGCATGGGGATCCCCTGGCCGGCCCAGACTTTGCTCCACAGCCCTTATGGCACCAAGACTTGGCATTAGGCCTGAGGTTTCTCTGTCCAACTGGATTCCTCTCTTACCTTTAATGAGTGCCCCCCCATCCCAAATAGGTGCCCTTACCCAAAATAAGCCTCTTTCTCTTTCTGAGACAGCGTCTCCCTATAGCCTCAGCTGGCCTGGAACTTGCTATGTAGACCAGGCTGGCCTTGCTCTTACAGAGATCAGCCTGCCTCTGCCTCCCGAGTTCTGGGATTAAAGGAGTGTACCACCATGCCTGGCTCTCTCTCCTTTTTTTTTTTTTTTGTCTTTTTGAGACAGGATCTCCTTGTAGTCCCAGCTGACCTGAACTCACTATGTAGACCAGGCTGGCCTCGAACTCACGAAGATCCACCTGCCTCTGCCTCCCAAGTGCTGGGATTAAAGGCATGCGCCACCATGCCCGGCCCTCTCACCTTTTTTTTTTTTTTTTTTTTTTTTAAAAACAAGGTCTCAAATCACTCAGGCTGGCCTGGAACTCCTTATGTAGCTGAGGATGACCTTGAACTCAGAATCCTCTTGCTTCCACCTCCCAAGCACTGGGATTACAAATGTGCAGCACTGCAATTTGGCTTCAAATAAACCTCTAACACTTGTAACTTTAGTCTGCTCTGGGAGCAACCATCTAACCATACAGGGCCAGCAGTTTGGGGCTGAATACAGGCCCCTTATATTTAGCTTGTCATAATAGTGAAAGCTGCTGAACATGTGAGCATGTCATTGAAAATGTCCCAGGAAGCCAGGCAGTGTCATGATAGGACAGAATTAAGTCCTGTGGGTGTTGGGAGGAAGAGGTCAGGGACAGATCATGCGACTCAGGGCAGAGTGGGCTATGGTTAAGAGGCTTGGAAACCAGGTTGGCCTAGGCTATGTGACCTTGGGACAGGCCTTTAGCCTCACTGGAACCTATTTGCCTTCCCTTGCTTGAAAACAGAATAAAACTAAGTGTCTCCATTCTCTCTCTCTCTCTCTCTCTCTCTCTCTCTCTCTCTCTCTCTCTCTCTCAATAATGTTATTATACGAATTAGTATATGTTGGCAACTCTCAGGAAACTGGTGGCTGCTGGAGATGTCATTTAGTGGTCATGCAAGGTTACCCTCGTGGTAGAAACCCTACCCTACCAGCCTTGTCCTGGTTCCCTCCCAGCCTGGTGCTTCAAGTGTGGGTACTGGGGTACCAGGGTACCTGGTAGGCAGTCCTGGTGATGGTTGCATGGCTCCCCTTCAGCTGGTGATGTCTCGTTACCATCACTGGAGAAGTGACCCCTGTGTTTCTCTGGGGACAAAGAGACTGGTGGTCAGACAGTTAGGTCTAGGAAAACAGAGTAAGCATAAGACTTAGTGTTACAGTGCCAGCAAGTCACTCCTACATGGACAGGACCCTCCGGCTCTCTCTGCTTTGAGTTCACCTTAGGGCTCACACTACAGACCTTATAGCTGGTTTCCCCATGAGTTAATATATGGGATCCATCTGGTGTGCTGTCAGCATAGGATACTATTTGCCATAGTGAGTGTCAGGTCCAGCTTAGATGGATGCATCCCAGCCCACCTTTGGACACCTGCAGGTCAGCTGGGGCTCAGCAAGTGCCTTCCCCTAACAGACAGTGGAGAGGGGAGGGAATCTGAGCACAGAGTGGGACTGGAGGCTGGGTATACCTTTCTTCTTTGCAGAGGGCCAGACCTCTGGCTTTAAGTCTTCATAATCGGTCCAGTCAAACAGAGCCATGTCCAGTGTGGGCATCACTTCCCCATCAGACCTGGGTTGTACCTGCAGAAGAGGGGACAGGAGAGGGGACCTGGAGCCTTCAAGTGAGGGAGTGGAACTGTGGGGTCTCAAGGCCAGAAGGCAAAAGACGAATTACCCTCATCTATGGGCTGCTGGAATCCCTACTGAAGATGTCCATGCAGTAGCTAGGGAGGCTATCCTGCCCACTCTGAGCCCATTTGAGAGAGAACCAGAAATGGCCCCACTGCTCACTTCCCTGTCCCTTCCTCTCCCTGGCTCTCCAAGGTCCTACGGAGGCCGCACACATGGCTTGATCCCACTCAAGCCTGACCAATGACCTGGAGACTAAGAGCCAAAGCCCATGGCTAGGTCTGTACACAGTCACCAGAGGTCAGCAGGGCACAGACCATAACTACAGCTGCTCAGGTGGGTTCCCAGCCATGCCTTCCTTCTCCGAAGTATACTAGGAGGTTTGGTGAGTCTCAAAGGCCCTTCCAGCTTCAAGGCCATGTGAGACCCCTTACCTGGGACCAGAGAGAGGTGATGGGCAGGATCCGGGACTCCTCAGTGGCAGGCACGGTGGCCTCTACGGTGGTTAGGAAGAGCATGGAGGGGGCCAGGCTGGTGGACGACTCCTCTGCAACAGTCTCCAGAGTCTGGTCTTCAGAGGGTTCCATTTTCTTCATCAGGGAGCTGGGACCACGGATGGCAGCTCGACCTGAGACAGGCCAGCAAGCACAGGGTGACCTGCCTGCTGTCTGATATCAGCTTACAGAGCAGCCTATCTTTTCTGCTGCAAGCCAGGGGCTGGTGAGCACCAGCCATGGGATAAGCCCTTGGTCCACCCATCATCCCTACTTCCTGTCCTTCTGGGGATCTGGAAACAGGGCAGTCATGGGGGAAAGGAACAGAATATAGGAGTCTCCCTGTGAAACTGCATTCTAGCAAATCTGATCCAGGATGCTGGGGGTCAGTCAGGGATATAAAACCATGGAAGGCTTCCTGGAGGAGGGAAGGCTCAGGGAGGGAACAACATCCTGAGGAGAGAGGCCTTTGAGAAAGCCAGCATAAGAGCCACCGCTTCCCCCTCACACCCAAGTACTTCCTGAGCAGTGATAAGTAGTCATCAACCTGTCTATTAATAATCCACCTATTAGCTGGGCATGGTGGCGCACACCTTTAATCCCAGCACTTGGGAGGCAGAGGCAGGCAGATCTCTGTGAGTTCAAGGCCAGCCTGGTCTACATAGTAAGCTCCAGGACAGCTGGGGCTACAGGGAGATCGTGTCTTAAAAAGATGCCCCTCCAAAATAAATAATGAGTCTGTTATGCTGGGTTTCTGGTGAGCCACTTTTCAAGGATTCGTTCATGTAACTGTTGCTGGAGCACTGGGAAGTGGGTGCTCCTCATCTATAGAGGAACCCAAACCACAGAGAGGCAAGGCAGCTTCACAAGGGACACACAGCTTGTGAGTGGCAGAGCATGGATTCGAACCCTGGTCCTTTTGAATGCAAAGCCGATGCTTTTTTTTAAGACTCATTTTTGTTATTTTTCATTTTATTTTATGTGTATGAGAGTATTGCCTGCATGTATGCAAGTGCACCTGTGCCATACAATGCCTGTGGAGGCCAGAAGAGGGCATTGGATTCCCCTGGAACTGGAGTTATGGATGGTTGCTGGCCACCATGTAGGTGCTGGGAATCGAACTTTGGTCCTCTGTAAGAGCAGCCAGTGCTCTTAACTGCTGAGCCATCTCTCCAGACCCTATTTTTGTTACTTTTAATTATGTATATGTGTATGGGTCTGCATATGGATATGTGCATGCAAATGCAGGTGTCTTAGGAGCTTAGAGGCCTCAAATTCCCTAGAGCTGGAGTTATGGATGGTTGTTGGCCACCTGGCATGGGTGCTAGGAATAAACTTGAGCCCTCTACAAAAGCAGCAGTTGCTCTTAACCACTGAGCCATCTCTCCACTCCGAAGTCAGTGATTTTAGCCCTGGGGCTACCTTTTAAGACATAGGAGAGTGGGGCTGCAAGAGAGGGAGGGAACAGCACACGATCAGCATGGGCCACAAACCACAGAACTTGGAGAGGCTGATGGCCTATACTTGTCCTCGCCTCCCAAGGCAAGCCCCGGCTGTAAGTTGAGTTGAGTCCACTGGGGTCCCTACACCTTACAGAGATGGACCCTAGAGAGTAGACAGGGGGACTTCAGAGCCATTCATTTTTCAGACAAGGAAATTGAGGTTCAGTCAGCCAGAGGCTTCACAACTGGTTGTGAGCAGAGCCAGCCTGGCCTTCGGACCTTGTCTTGACCCGTCATCCTCCCTCAAGAGGGCCCTGCTGCTCCGCTGAAGCCAAGGAACTGGAGCCTTCTGGGGACTAGGGCTCCATGTATACTGTGACCTCCTGCTGGTCCTCAGGGTATCAGCACCCTCGACTGGCACAGGGGACCCTGAGAGTGGGAGAGCCACATGTTCAAGCTAGCCCTGCCTGTCTGGATTCTGCCACCTGGGGGTGTCAACAGAAGCAATTGCCCACCTCCGTCTGCAGGGGGTGCTGCAGCTTCTCCACCTTGGTCCCCAAGAAACAGCTGGGTGAACTGTATGGGCTCAGGGCCAGGTGAAGCTGGGGAGAAGCGAGCTGTGTGGAGATGGCCAGGGAGTTTGTCAGAGACTGTTCATTCAGGCCAGAGGACAGAGGCTCAGCCTGGTGGCTGCAGGGACATGTTAAGGAAGGTGAACACACAGGCAACACAGGGAGGGAGGGATGTGATAGCTCTCCTGGGATGCTGTGGTTTATATCTTGAATGTTCATCAAGGGCTATATACGCTAAAGGCTTGGTCTCCAGCTCGTGGCCCTACTGGGAGGTGGTGAGGGCCTAGTAAAAGGAAGTTGGGACATTAGGGGTGCCTTTGAGGGGGCTATGGGGACCCTGGCTCCTCTCTCTTTCTCTCTGCCCCCCAGCCACTACGAGGTGGGTAGCTTTGCTCATTCCACAATGTTGTGCTTCACCACAAGCCCAAGAGACCATGGACTGAACACTTCCAAACCTGGAGCCAAATTCAGCCTCTTCTTTGCACTGAGTTTCCCAGGGATTTTGTCACAGTGATGGGCAGCTGACTACCACAAAGGGTCACTGCGGTCCAAGCTGGTGGACATTGACCAGGGATCTAAAGATTTAGCAGCAATTGGATCTAAGATGTCTGGGAGTCAGGTCCCTCTGTCTACACTGAGGTCGATGGCACCTTTGCAGAGAGAAAAGCTAAGGCATAGGAAGGTGACTTGACCAAAGAAACCACTGTGACTTTACTAAAATGCCTTTCTTCTTCTGGGTACCCACTGCCTGCCCCCTTGAGGGCTCTGGATGGTCTCCCCTGGAACCTTGTAACACTGACCTGATTGTTTCCTGCCCTTGGTATTGAACTAGAGCCCACCCTCCTCCCCTCCAATGAAGGACCCCTGGTCTCCGGCTACCTCGGTGCAGTCGCAGCCGGTCCCTGCGTCTCTTGTGTGTTCTGCCACGTTTCTTCACCCTCTCCCATCTGGGAGACTGGGGCTCCTTCTCAGGGTAGGGCAATGCCAGCCCCGGAAACAGGTCCTTGTTTTGCAGCACACCTGAGGGGTGCTGTCCAGGTGGCAACCCAGAGGCCTGCCTGGTGGCAGTGACCACAGCCCCCTCCTGGATCAGGCTGGGCAGGCCTGGGGCCCGGTCCTTCCTGCCTGGGCCCCGCCGGCCATGATGTCTAGCCTGAGGTGCCCACAGTGCAGAGCTGGGGAGGTAGAGATGAGTCTCGGGCAGGTCCCGGGCAGGGGTTCCAGGTGCAAGGGTACCTGTCACATGGAGCTCTGGGAGCAAGAGGAGGACCAGGAACAGCATGAGGACCTTGGGGACAGTGGGCTCCGCCATCAGTTCCTCCCTAAAAGAGAAGCAGGAACATGAGGGCAGTGCACAGCCCACCACCCCCACCCCAGCCCAGCCCCTCTCACAAACCTCCACGTCAGAGCCCCACTATCCAAGTTTCTTTTCCCATGGGCATGGCGGGGGCTCTGCTCCCTGGAGACATTTTTGTTTTTTTAACTTAAAATATTTTTGGTGTTGTTATTGTTGGGAGTTTTGTTTTAAGACAGAGTTTCATATAGCCCAGGCTGGCCTCAAACTCAGAACTGGATATGTAGCCCAAGATAAACTTGAATTCCTGATCCTCCTGCCTCCACCTCTCAAGTTTTGGAATTATAGATATAAGCCACCATGCCAGCTTCATCCTTGAAAAAAAAACAACAATAAAAATATATATATATCATCTATCATCTATCTATCATCTATCTATCTATATCTATCAATCATCTATCATAGCTATCTATCTATCTATCTATCTATCATCTATCTATCTATCATCTATCTATCTATCATATCTATCTATCTATCTATCTATCTATCTATCTATCTATCTATCTATCATCTATCTATCTATCATCAGTCATCTCATCGTGTGCATGTGTACATGCCACAGTATGCATATGGAGGTCAGAGGACAACTTGTGGGAGCCACCACATGGGATTGAACTCAGGTTGTCAGGCTTGGCGGCAAGTACTTTACTCATTGACCCACCATGCAGGCCCCCCTTTTTTTCTTAGTGTGTGTGTATTTATGCCACATGAGTTCAGCACCCACAGAGGCCAGAAGAGAGCATCTGATCCTGTGGAAGTAGAGTTGTGAGCCACTTAATGTGGGTGCTGGGAACCCAACTGAGGTCCTCTACAAGACAGCAATTACTGTTAAGCATTGAACTGTCTCTCCAGACTTTTTTGCTGGGGGTGGGGTGGGGGTTGAAGCAGAGTCTTGGTATGTGGCCCAGGCTGGCCTTGAACTTGTGGCAAGCCTCTTACCTCAGACTTTTGAGTGCTAGGGTATAATAAACATTAAATATTAGTCTTTTCATTCAAACCCTGTCAAACTTGGCTTATGACAAGGAATTCTAATCTTCTTTTTAAAATGTTTTATTTGTTATTTTATGTGTATGAGTGTTATGCCTGCATGTAGGTAAATGTACCCGTATCATGCATTGCACATGGAGGACAGAAGAGGCTATCAAATCCCCTGAAACTGGAGTTACAGACAGTTAGCTGCCATGTGGGTGCTGGGATTTGAACCCGGGTCTTCTGCAAGAACAGTCAGTGTTTAACTGCTGAGCCATCTCTCCAGCCCTGGAATTCTAATCTTTTAATCCCACCATACCCTGTAAGACTTTTGTTTAAAGAAAGACCCTGATGCATTCCAGAACCCCATGACCTAGGGCAGTCGAGCTCTTTCCATTTCCTTTGCACGATTCTTTTAAACTAGCCAACTCAGAAAAACTGTGAGGTTGGACCCCAGCCAATGGGAAAAAGACACAGGACTCTTACCTTTAGGAATAAAAGCCTATCAAGCTTCCAGATCCTGTGCGCTTGCAGGATCTGACTGACCATGACACACCCTTTTGCAGAAGTAAACTCTGCCTTGCCGATTTACTTTTCTGCTTTGTCCAGGTGCTCTTTGTGTGGTATTGGTGGGGTCCTTGACCTCAGATTGTATTTCTTTTTAAAAAGTATTGTATTTATTATGTTTTTTATTTTATGTGTATGAGTGTATTGCCTGCATGTAAGTAAGTGCACCTGTGTCATGCAGCGCCCTCAGAGGTCAGAAGAGGGGTCAGATTCCCCTGGAACTGGAGTTACTGGAATTACAGATGATTGGGTACTGGGAATTGAACCTGGGTTCTCTGCAAGAGCAGCCAGTGCTCTAAACTGCTGAGCCATTTCTCCAGCCACTCAGATTTTATTTCTAACATGGCATTTTAGGTGTGAATCACCAATTTCTGATGGAAATATTGTCATTTGTCAAAACTGGGCAATACTAATGATTTCTCATGGGTAGAGGCCAAGGGTGCTGAACACCTCACAATGCACAGCTCAGCCCCCCAACCATCCAGTTGTGGATGAGAATCCCTGGCTTAAATCCTTCCAAACTATTCTAGAATTTCTTTCTCTGCACAAGCCCTTGGCCAAGCCTACTGAGACAGGATAGAGCCCCTTAGAGCACAGACACCCGCCCCTTGCTGCTGAGACTTGATCCACATCCCACATCTAAGCACGCTGAAATAATGAGATCCAGGACAGGGTCATGCTCTGAGGGAACCAGTGCACTCTGTCCCCTCAACAGCTCTCTAAACTGACTCCTGTCATTTTCCCAGTTTTCTGAAGTGGCAGAGGGGCTGTGTCATAGTAAGCCACACCCTGTAAATAAATGCCTGTGTTCTGGGCCCTCCGTGACTGCCCCAAGGTGGCCTAGGTCTTCCCTGGCCCTGTTCTTTCTCCTTTTACTTTTGTGTTGCTTTTTTGAGGGAGGGGGATGGCAGGAGACAGGGTCTCATGTAGCCCAGGTTGGCCTTGAACTCAGTATAGCGCTGAAGATGCTTTTGAACTCCTGCCTCCACCTTCTGAGTGCTAGGATGTCAAGTGGTACTTGTTTGTAAGTTCTTACAAGCTCTGAGGTCTCCAGAGGATCTAGCACTGTCCCTGGGTGCTGAGGGGCTTTGGGAACGGTCTGGCAGACACCACTCTGATCCCCCCAGGGTACAACAAGTCAGTCTGCATTACACCCCATCCCCTGTCCTTCCCAGTTGCCCAGCCACAGTAAAGGCTCCTAGGGACTCAGTGTCCTCCCTCTCCCCTGGAGGAGGAGGCTGATCCCTGTGGGTTCAGAGAACTGCCTCAAAAGGCCTGGGGCTAGGGCAAAACCGAGATTCTGGAGACTGTCCTGCCTGCAGCATCCCTGTCCCGTACCCCACCTCACTGCCTTGGCTAGTCTCACATCAGGTCAGTGGGCTGATTGAATTTTTATGGCCCAGTATTCCATTAGGGTCCCCAAGGGGCTTACACCATGGTTTCTTCCTGATTTGTGGCTTTATAATTGCCCAGAGCAAGTAGGCAGGCCTGGAAGATTCCCTAGTTCCTAGCATCCCTCTCTCCAGCCAGCTTAGCTCCTGTACTCCCCAGGCCCACCCAACCAGGTTCAACTTCAGTCAACTCCAAATGGGGGCTATCCTGCCCAACCTCAGAGCCCCCACCAGGCTAACTAACCTGAGATTGAGGAGGAAAGGCCCCTGTACCCTGTTCCTTTTTCATCCTGAGCCCTGGCCTCCATTGCAGACAGCCTCTCTTTCTAGAGCAACAGGTTGAACAAGAGGTCTTATGTGGGGTGTGACGGTGCTCACCTTTAATCCCAGCACTGGGGAGGCAGAGGCAGGTGGATCTCTGTGAGCTCTAGGCCAACCAGAACTGTATAGTGGGGTGGTCTCAGTCTCATTGTTTTTTTCTGTCCTTATCCCCTCTCATGGTGGGACCAAGACCCTGGGCCAGCCATGTGAGGTGGATGAAACAAAAAGCTGAGCTTGTGACACCCTCTCCCCAGCACTGTCCATCCATTCGCAAACCTACAGATGTCTCAGCTCCTGCCCACCGCCCTGACCATGTCCCCTGTCTCTTTACTTGCCAGAGGCGCCTGGGACTGGCTCACCTCCAGACCTTCTCTGGCAGAGAGTCAGAGGCTCCAGGGTTACTAACGGGCCACAAGGTCCACGAAGGGGCTGCAAGTCAGGCTTTGTAAGGCTGGGAGGGACTCCTCAGCCCTGCTCAGAATCAGGGTCAATTCATGTCCCAGGCTAATCTTCCTAATGGCTATTGGCCTGACCACAGTCAGATGCAGCCTCTGCCCTCCTGGGATGAAAGACTGGGGAAATGCTGTGTGGGAAGCTATCAGGGCCCTGACGGCAGCCCTGCCTTTCCATCCTGCAGGGGCCCTTGCAATTCAGAAGCCCACAGAACACCCCCATCCACAGGGATCCCTTCCCCTTGGTGAGGTGGGGATGGGGGGATGGGGAGAGAGGTAAGAGACCAGATGGGACTTGGCAGAGATGGGCAGATCTGAAGGCCCCTACAGGCAGCTTGTTGACCCTGTGGAGTCATGCAGTCAGTGACCCTCAGAGCTTCCCAGCCAGCCTGGATCTGGTTTTAGAGAGAAGCTCCTCTCCTGCAGAGTCAGGAGATAAAGCCCACCACCTCCAGATGTAGCTCAGTTGGTTTGCCTAGCCTACACCAGATCCTGGGTTCCATCCTCATAAAACGGGCATGGTGGTGCTCATCTGTAATCCCAGCACTTAGAGATAGAGGCAGGAGGATCAGGAGTTCCAAGACACCCTTGGCTACATAGCAAGTTTGAAGCCAGTCTGGGCTACACGATATCCTTCCTGTCTTCAAAAATGAAATAAAAGGGGCTGGAGAGATGGCTCAGCAGTTAACAGCACTGACTGTCCTTGTAGAGGACCCAGGTGGGGTTCCCAGTACCTGCATGGTGGCTAACAACTGTATGTGACTCCAGCTCCAAGGGATCTGACACCCTCTTCTGACCTCTGTGAGCATTGCACAGCATGGGTGCCCTTATATACATGCAGGCAATACACTCATACACATAAAATAAAAATAACAAATAAAATATAAAAATTAAACTAAAACAGCCAGGAGTGGTGGCACACACCTTTAAACTCAGCCCTCGGGAGGCAGAGGCAGGTGAGATAGTGGTTAACCTGGTCTACATAGGCCAGTGGGGCTACAGGGAGATTCTGCCTCAAAAAAGCCTAAAATAAAATAATGGGACAGGTGAGATGGCTCAGCAGGTGAAGGTACTTGCTGCCAAGCCTGACAACTTAGCTCAATCCCTGGGACTCACATGCTGGAAGGAGAGAACCAACCTCCACCCCACCCCACCCCCACAATCTGGAATTTGTTGGTCTAGGATTATCCACTTTTTTGGAAATGATGCCAGAGAACCCAGCCTTGGC